CTAAGGATAACTATAAGGATAATCTATATAGGAAATCTCCTTATAAAGGAGAGGGAGAGAGAGGAAAACCGGGAACACAATGAAAGCATACCATCGGCACTCCTCTCCCGTCCTCCAGTAATTGGAGGACAAGATAACAAGATGACAGGGGACAAGATTAAAAAGAAAATGGGGCAATGAGCAGATTTAGGTGTTTTAGGTTAATCTAAAATCTATGGCAAATCTAGTGCCTTAAAAACTAAAGATTTGGCACCAATCACTTCTTTAGCAAAAAACGCTTGATTCTTGTCCATGCTGTCAGGCTGCCAAGGGCGATTCTCTGGAAATTCTAGATTGTCAGGTCTTCTCCCAGGTCAGCTGAAAGTTCAAGTCTGTGTCTCATAAACCTATCACAGCCAAAGATGCTGTGCTAGGCGTCGTCAATAATTTCACTCTTGCAAAAGATACAAAATGGGCTTTCCACGAGCTTGAATTTGTGCAGATAGTATTTAAGAATCCCATGGCCTGTTAATAATTGGGTCACCTAGAAGTCAGTTTCCATCCTTGGATTTCGGAAGAGCCACTCCTCGATATTCGGGATCAACTCTTTAAACCAAACATCTTTGGTTGGAGAGGATGACCAGAGCTCGCACCATTGACGAATGATGTCGTGCCTGATTTCTGAAAAGTTTTCTTGTCTACTGTGCCTTCTCATACGCTCCTCAATTAGCAGACGGGCTGGTGGGAAGCCGGAAATAACATCAAGGCAGCTATTCGAGACGGTCCTGTATGCGGAACATAACCTTACTTTGATAGGGCGCAGTGTCTTTTCAATTAGCTTTACATTAGTCTTCTTTGTAGCGTCGTGATATCAAACTGGAAGACCATGGTTTTTCCGTGGGGTTGCCGGCAAGTAGGGGACGGTTCTTTTTGTAGTCCGCGTACTTACCGGGGCATGAGTGTATTTTCCGAAGGGTAGTGTCACATTGGGGAGTGAAATCATTTACCCTACCCCTCTTGCCACAGATATGTTTCAAGAAACAGTTCCCCTTGGCTGCGCAACTCCTACCTTCCCCCCCCCCTCACCCATAAAAACGGTAAATTGCCACTATTATAGAACGCGTTGGCCGATTTCGCTGAAATTCAATAGGAAACCAGTCTTAGTAGATATCTACCATCAAAATATTACATACAGCTCAAAATATTCATTTTTACTCGAGTTATCGCGTGGACAAAATTAAACCTCCCCCCACTTTGACCCCTCTAACCCAGCTATTTCTCATCATTTACAAATCTGAGTGTTACGTCAAAAATTTTGAAATCGATATATGCAGCTCGAACACAAAATGGTGTATTAAAATGGAATAACATTTTTGCCTATACATATTTGTATAAGGCCCGCGAAGGGGGCCTGAGGGCGCGAGGCGCCCTCCCGGGGGTTGGGCCGCGTAGCGGTCAGGGGGCAGGGCCCCCTAGTATCTACTAAAGCCGAAAATGATCATTAATTCAGATATCGTCGAGTTTGGGCCAATCCGTCCGCACAATCAATGTTCTTAACACCCGCTGTATCACCTTAAACCCAAAATTCTAATAAATCACTCATGAATTTAAACAATCAGAAGGAGACTTCTATGATCAAGAATGAATTTGAGGAAGTATTTCATCAAAATTTGACCGAAGGACGGCAGTTATCAAGACCTCTACCTAGTTAAGAGGGACATTATTGGTACTCAGTTACTTAACGATTTTGGCGATGGAGTTAGAGAAGAACCCTGCTAAAAATAAACATGTTGGTAACATGTTGAGACCATGTTGGTATCAACATGATGTCAACATGGTATCAACGTGACATCAACTTGGGGTAAAAGACCAACATGATACCAGCATGCTAGCAATATGGCAAGTCCCAATATGATATAAACATGATAAAAACAAGCAGTGAACTTAAACACAATGTGTTGATAAGGCGCGTCATTAACTCGTACATATCAACTCCTTTAGTTTTTATTTACAGAGATTTCAAAATAGACAAGCAGCACAACAAGAGAATTCACGATCCAACACTGCAAGGTCAACGACGCACCTTGACGAGACCGTGTACTGTGAATCTAGAAAGCTATTCGAACGAATTTAAGTTTTTTGATCTACCTGCTCAAGCAAAATCTTATCAGATTCTTGAAGAAAATTGATACGGAATAATTTAAGCGAAGAAAGGAAAAATTCTGTCGAACTCCTGGATGATAGAGTCGATTTTAAGGTATTTTGGGGCTAAAATACCCAAATCATCGGTAGTATAAATCCCGTTATATTATTGAAAAGAAATTGACTCGATATAAATGCAATTGCATTAAATATGTCTTGATTTTGTTATTTTAAACGTTTTTCCACGCAAAGGAGTTCAACCATGTCCATTGCCATTCATTCATGAATCGAAAGTAAGAAATCTACATCCTGAAAATCTACCGATTTGCCGTAAAATATCGCAGAAACTTGATATACCAGGTCGATGTACCCACTCGTTGAATTTAACAATCAATTTTGTGAGTGCACATATGTAAAAGTCAATATGCTATAGTCACTTTGGGTGCATTTATTTTCATAAAACAATAATATGTAAGTAATTTCAATCCCGAAAAATTCTGAGGTCAATTATATTTAATTGTAATTTATATATATATTTTTTCCCCTTCATTTTATTTTTTGTATGGAGAAATCGAGGTTTCGTTGATTTCCTCGGATTCTGAATACTGTAACTTCTCTTCTATTCGGCCGATTTTTATGAATGAGGCCTCTTTTTATTCGTGTTTTAACGGAGAGTAAGGAAAAAATTGCTAAATACACGCGAAACAATTTTTTTTGAAAATTGGATGAATCCTAGCGTGACGGTGAAATGGTTAATCAACCGTAAGTTATTGGGCGAGGGGCTGAGGATCCCAGCCGCGCTTGGCGACCCTCATTAGCCATTGTCCGTCGAGACGCTGACGCAGTGATCAGGAGCGTGGGGAGGAGAGAGCTAAGTGGATTCCTGTGTGAGCCACGTTTAGCAAATGGTCTAATGAGTCTCGAGGCTCATCACGGATTGCACTTACAGCTACCGTGGCTGGCTCTGGCTATCAGAGCAGTGGTACAAAATTTTGAAAAGCATAACAGGGGTGTGGAGATCTGTCAAAGCAACGTTTTGAACAAAACGGAGCAGTGCAATTCTCATTCGAGGAGTGCCGAACTGGTCAGCCATCCTCGAATCAGTTCGCTTGCTTCTGCTTATATATGCATATTTTAAATCAGCGCGGCGCATTCTTAGGTTGTTTTGAAAAAAACCAAGTAACGTAGACTCTTGGTATTCACTGCACATAAACTAGAAAGCCCCAGAATGAGAAACAACTTTAAATCATAATTATTGACGGATAAATAAACTTTTTACACGCTGTGGAAAATCTCAGAAGTTCGCGGTAGTCACTTTTCGGTAAGGAACTAAGGGACTCGGTTATTGTATCGAGTGGGGGGTCGAAACGATCGCAAAGGCGGTATACTACGTATACGCGCCAAAACTGTCGTTAACAACATTGCACAAATATGGTAACATGATGATATCAATTTGGACTTTCTTACCATCATGATAAAGAGTCGATGTAAAGTTTTTTATCTGTTGGTCCCATCATGGGAACACACTGATATCATTGCACTAAAAAAAAAGTTCGGTGATTTTTACCGAACCCTTCGGTGCACGGTTGTTCGGTGGCGCAAACCTAGGTATCGGGTTTTTTGAACTAAACGCCATTACGGCGTTTGGGACACACGACCAACCGAGTTCGGTAAGGTTTTACCGAACTTTTAAGGTCACGGAAATCGATCATTCGGTTATTCCCTCAAAACTTTCAGTATATATTCGGAGGAAGTCGGAAACGTTCGGTTGGCGTCTTATTATTGTATGTGTTGATCCATAGATATGTTCAAAGACGAGTATCTTATTCTTGCCTTTGTGGCCTTTTTAATTTTTGAAATCCATGTTGATATTTTTTCTGTGAGTAAATTTTCCTTTAGACATTTTTTTATCTATTTTACTTTCGAAATTCATTTGTGCATTGAATAAAATTTCATTTATATCTGCGGCTTAAATTTAAAAGAATGTTGCTCAATTAAGATGGGACCAGGAAGTCATTATAAAAATTATTAAATAATATTACGAATTTATATTATTAAATGAATATTAATACGATAAATCATAATATGATTAATATTATATATAATATAATAAATTATAATATATTTTAATGCATGATTAATGATAGCATTTATTTTTCATTAATTTATATTAGGTATTTATTTATCTTATTTTGTTTTTAATATTTTCATTTTTAATAACTATTTGTCCGTCCATGTCTTATTTTATTTTTTTTTCGTGTGTTGTTCGTACTCCTCTCTTTCAAAAACTTGATCTACTTTTAATTATTTTCGTATCCTTCATTGTGAAACTGAATGATGTACAAAATTGCAAGAATATCATTGCTTCTAATCATTGAACCAGATCTGGGGACGTTTATTAGTGCTATATTAGTCAATGTTCCCACGTGAGCGTCCGCGGCGGAGTGGCAGCGACACTCGGGCGATCACCGAAGTTCAGCAACGTCGGGCGTAGTTAGTACTTCGATGGGTGACCGCTTGGGAACTCGGGCGCAGCGCGGCTTATTGCTGGTGAACATTGAGTGTCAGGTTCCATCAGCATTACTTCTGTGGTGACTGCGATGAAAAGCAAGCCTAAGAACGTGCAACGCGCCTAAATTTAAGCATTTTGGCATTATGGAATTTTTTTTTTCGGTGTGTAATATCATATTGGTAACATGTTAATATAGTGGTGATAACATGTTGATATCATGGTGATAAAATGTCGATATCATGTATGATAACAGGTTCCATTCACCATGTTGCTACCATGTTGGGCCAGACCAACTTGTTACCAACATGTTCATTTTTAGCAGGGAAAGGAAGTCGGTTCTTATACCATTTAAACTTTCTATGTACAGGTATGGAGATGTTCCTGAAAGAGACAAGTTTCCATGGCGTAATGTTGGACAGTCTATTCTCAGCACCTGAAGAGTGGAAAGAGAAACTGCATTCAGCAGTCACTGAAGGTATTAAATGTGGTGCAATTAAACCACTAGTCCGAACTGTTTTTGAGAAGGACGAAATTGAGCAAGCGTTCAGGTATCTCTTTCAATTTCATATTATTTTCACACTACATACGCATTACCTCAATAATTTATTTACAAACTGCAGCCTACATTCAAGGCACACCTATGTCATATTACAGCACTTAGGTTACAATACCAACTTACCGCTTGAATTAAAACCAAGATTAAGTCGAAAACTGATGCAATCGAAGGTACTAAAATATCCTCACCCAGCTCGACAGCTACATTGAAAAACATCTGTAACAGCCATTTTTTGGGCGAGAACATCGCTTGCATAGAGTACAATAGAGTCGCAAAGTACTGGATCGTCGATGAAGTCACTTTTGGAGGCTGTTTTGTCCAGTTCTTCGGATACTAGTGTGCGGCGACTAGCGATGACGCATACGCAGAGACTCGCGCTCGGCGCTCCCCACCTCCCCACTCCCGACTCGGCTCCGTTCGTCGGCTAGGTCCACACACATTGAATCAGCTAAGTAGGCCGGTAATGAGTCTGAAATTGAGCCCATATATGAATATTATCTAGGAGTAACATACATTAATGGATTCATTATGGCTTAGAATATCTATTTCAAGCAAAATTTGCACAAATTAATATCGATGGAATTAAAAAAAGTCGAAAAAACACAAGCAGTCGTTGATTTCTCCATAAGCCACCGTGTTAAAAAACGCCGGTTGGTTCACACTTTGTATAAGTCAGAAATTAAATTCCTATATGAATATTATCCCGGAGTAACATACATCAATGGATTCATAATGGCTTTGACTATCTAATTATAGCAAAATTTGCACAAATTAATATCAATGGAATTAAAAAATGTCGAAAAAACACAGGCAGTCGTTGCTTTTCCCGTAAGCCGCCGTGATAAGAAATGCCGGTTGGTTCACACTTGGTATAAGTCAGAAATTAAATCCCAATATGAATATTATCCAGGAGTAATATACATCAATGGATTCATTATGGCTTTGACTACCTTTAAATAGCAAAATTTGCAAAAATTAATGCTGATTGAATTATAAAATACCTAAAAAACACAAGCAATTCTTGATTTCTCCATAAGCCGCCGTGTTACAAAATGCCGTTGGGTTCACAAATGGTTCACAATTTTCGGAGCACACGCGGCTCGGAAACGCCTGTTAATGGATTGGCTTCATCGGCGCTCCAGTACTTTGCGACTCTATTGTACTCTATGATTGCTTGTTTCCGAGGCTTTTACTCTGGCTTAAAATTGGTCTATTATGCATTGTGGCCACATCTGAGCTAGGTATATTTAAGGCTGTCTGTGTGATGGGTTTCGTAAATTTTAGAATCAAACAAAATAATATTAGGTACGGCTGTTCCGAAGTGTGAGCCTAAAATTTTAAAGGAAGACGCAGCATACATAATTGCAGAGCTGTTTTGCCGTCAATCTTGGACATAATGCTCAACTAAATGTTTCATACGCGGGGAGATGTTTGAAATTCTCTGCTGATCCTTTCAAGCAGGTCTGTTGAGAGACTTATTTCATACATTTTTAAATTTGGTTCAATAGAACTCTAGAAAAGCTGGTTTTTCTGAACCCACCTCCTCTTTGCACGGGTCCAAAATGTCACGGAGCTTCATTCGCAAGGGGGCCGCTGTGTCTATCGTTTATGGCAAAAAAGTGGCTTGGAGGTGGTTGAAATACATGTAAAACATAAGTAAAGACTTTTCCTAGGTGGAAAACAGCAGAGTTAGCCGTGTTTACCTCTAAATCAGCTGCAGCCGAGCAAAAGCTTACAAAATTGTCAACGTTAATTCTCACTAGCTAACTGAGTCCTTCATAAGCATTCAAATTATCCTGCCCGTTCTCGAAGAAATGTCGTCAAAGATGCATGATTTGGGGAAATCTGCAGCTTTTACAACTTTTTTACCATAAATAAACCTGAATTCGAGCAGCTATGGCCACCTTACTTGGCAAAAGAACGAATAATAGAGCTCAATTCCGACACCGAAACCAAATTCAGGGTTACAACTCCACGATGAGTTGACCAAATGTAGCTCAACATTTCCATGTACGGCAGTCGAAAGCCACCTATAATCAAAGTAAACACTATCAATCCTGCTATTTCCCACTTGGGAAAAGTCTTTACTTATGCTTTACCTACATGTATTTCAGCCACCTCCAAGCCATGCACTTTTTTGCCATAAGCGATACACACAGCGGCCCCCTTGCGAATGAAGCTCCGTGACATTTTGGACCCGTGCAAAGAGGAGGTGGGTTCAAAACAATCCACTTTTCTAGGATTGTATTAATAAAAATCTACAGCGCGTGAAACAGCTTGGTGTAGTGTCTTTTCAACGCTTTTTACAAAGGAGGAGTAACGTTTTGGGCCTTTTCCGGCCCCACCTGGATTTTGCTAAATGTTTCATATTTTCAAAGTACTAGTCTTAGGTAGACTCTGTGCCAAATATTAGACCGAACGGAGCCCATGCAAGGACGCAGCAGCGCCTCAAACCCAAAATCCTGGAATCGAAAAACAATTATTTTCGTCGACTTTTTCGACTGTTATCACTCTTCCAGCACATGATTTTTATGTATTTTTTTGCGTACTTTTCGTTTCTGGCCTTTTTAAAGGCCTCCGATAAATTTTAAGGGGCCTTATGGCCCATTGTTGCCATTTTTGGCCCATTTTTAGGGTTTTTTTCCATTTAACACATTCAAAACTCAATTTAATCCAAAAACTGTGTATATTTTTGAAAAGTACGTAAAAAAATGAATAAAAAATGTTCAGTAAAATTTTTTCCTATGTCGCCAAATTTCCGAGAAAATTGGTCCCAAAGTGTCAAAAACGGCAAAAAATCGATAAATCGCCGCGTCTAAGGTTCAAGAAAGTGGAGTACATTTTTCATACTGTACCAGATAACAGCTCTTATCCATCCATACAACATACTAAAATATCATAGTTGTACCTGGATTCCCACGATGTGAAAATTGACC